TTCCTTTTTTTTTTTTTTTTTGAGACAGAGTCTCACTGTGTTGCCCAGGCTAGAGTGCCGTGGCGTCATCCTAGCTCACAGCAACCTCAAACTCCAGGGCTCAAGCGATCCTCCTGCCTCAGCCTCCCGAGTAACTGGGACTACAGGCATGCGCCACCATGCCCGGCTAATTTTTTCTATATATTTTCAGTTGTCCAATTAATTTCTTTCTAATTTTAGTAGAGACAGGATCTCGCTCTTGCTCAGGCTGGTTTCGAACTCCTGAGCTCAAACAATCCACCCACCTCGGCCTCCCAGAGAGCTAGGATTACAGGCGTGAGCCACCGCGCCCGGCCCTATCGTTTTTTTTGAAATGCTTTGGAAATAGGTGCAGTTGGACATTTAGAAAAAAATTCACATAAAATATAATCACTATCCCTTCACCTCTCAGTGCTGAACTCTGACACTGCAGAGGACCAAGTTTCCTGCACCATCTACCATGTTATAAAACTGTCAAGAAGCCTCTGTTGTAAGTGATTCGAATGTACCATCTACTAGTTGGCATTTTAATCAGGATAATTACTAGGGATTCCAGTTGGTCGTTGCAACGCCTATAATCTATTGGTCTTTGCGGTGTTCCTGTGAATACAGTGGTCAAATCACTTCTTGCACACCCACTGAAACTGCTTCGTCATCAACATGCTGCTCATTGCTTCCCCTTTCACCCAGGCTTGGCAGGCTAGCTGACAGGGCATTTCAGGTGACCAGAGGGAGGGCTCATTGCCTGCAGGAGGGAGATGATACAAGCTGAGTCGAATCCTCTGGGCAGAGGTGGAACGTGGCCTTGTTAAGGAAAATAAAATCTCAAGACCCGCTCTCCCAACTCCTTATGCAAAACGAAAGATCCAGCCTTGAGGCTGAGTCATGCAACACCCCCTCCCAAATGAATAGCTCTTCCTAACATGGATTAGCCAGAGCCCTACGGAAAAGTAAAGGACCTCAGGCCTCATGATCATTCATAAGGCAATTCTTTGCTGGCCTCCCATAAATAAGGACATGCAAATTATAACTTTGCATCTGCAGGCTAAGCCTAGCTCCTAAAACTAAAGTCTGTTCAACTACACACTAATGACGTTAATTCCAAGCTTATCCTCCCAGGTACAGAACAGAGACGAGACAAGATCAATCATTCTTCCACCCACCTGGGGACATCTACATAATGATTCTTCCTTTGCTTCCTTTTCTCTTCAAACATTCACCTTGTCATATGTAAAATGCAGATTTCCTGAGCACTAACTACAGTCTCACAAGAACGTAACAATTTGTCTTACTGTCTACTTGCTCCTCTTCCTACATTCTCTTCCCCCAACTCCTGTTTAAGAAAATGTATAAATACGAAACCTCCTAAAAACTTCTTTGGAAAAAACAGTAACAGATACATCTGTGGCTTGTCCTTCTCCCAGATGTGCCCTAAAGCTGGCTTAATAAACCTCGATTGACTGAGATCCTTTCCTCAATCACTCATTTTGGGCTGTCATAGCCTAGGATCAATAGGCTCTGCTACACCGTATAGCCTAGGTGCGTAGTAGGCTATACTGTCTAGGTACACACACCATGATGTTTGCCCAGCAACAAAATCACCTACGATGCGTTGCTCAGAACATATCCCTATTGTTAAGTGAGACATGACTATACCACTCATTAGGCCCCACCTCCCAACACTGCTGCATTGGGGATTAAGTTTCTAACACATGAACTTTGGGGGACACACCCAAACCATAGCAACCTCCTTTTCCAAATTCTCATGGAATTGATGAATCCGCAGGCAGAATGTGTATCAGTGAAGTCTTCCTGTGGTTTGTGGGTAGAAAAAGCCAAGGCTGGATTGTCTTCTTTGGAGAAGCCTAACAACAGGAGTGGAAGCTAGACCTGGGATGCCCATTAGAGCCACTGGCTGCCTGTTGGTCTTGGCGGCTGCCAACAGGTTAAGAAGGAGGCCAGTACAACTTAGTCGCTGCCTGTGTGTCAGAAGGATGGGGCTGTGCTATGAGGGCAGCTTATCCAAAATAACAGGTCAATAGATGACCTGAAGTTTTCACAAAGCAGTTCCTAGGCAATGCTGTGATATCTACAGTTCCTTGCTGCTCTTAGTAAGGCAAATGTAGCTTTCTGTTAAACATTTTCTTTTTTTTTTTTTAATTTTTATTTTTTAGAGACAGGGTCTTACTCTGTTGTCCAGCCTGAAATGCAGTGGCTCAATCATAGCTCACTGCAACTTTCAACTCCTGGGCTCAAGCGATCCTCCTGCCTCAGCCTCCTGAGTAGCTGGGACTACAGGCATACACCACCAAGCCCAGCTAATTTTTCTTATTTTTTTGTAGAGACAGGGATCTTGCTATGTTGCCTAGGGTGGTCTCGAACCCCTGGCCTCAAGCGATCCTCCTGCCTTGGCCTCCTAAAGTGCTGGGACTACAGATGTGAACCACTGCACCCGGCCAACATTTTCTAATTAAACTTTGCCAACATTCTGAACTTGTTGGTTTTCATGGCTTAGCTTACTCCCCTCTCAGGGATTTCTTAATCACTAGACTCTCAGATAATATTTTCAAACAAACAGATTAAGTCCCCTGGGGGTCTGAAAGAGCTGCCAAACCCTTCGGAATGATTTGGTTGATTAAAGTGGGAGGCCGGGGGCCAGGAGGTGTGTGTCCACTGCGTACTGTTTCCACGGGCTACTCAGATCTAGCGCTTGGTCCACAGAATCGAATTCACTATGTAGGTCTGCTGCCTGCAGGACAGAGGCTGCTGGCCTCTTCCTTGCATTTGTCAGGATGGACATGATTTGTTGAAATACTATTCTGCTTGGGCCAACGAATGCGCCAGAACCAGACAGAAAGCAGGGGTAACCTGGGGACCACTTCTAGGTCAAGCAAGAGAAGGAAAACATCAAATCCAGTTCTGCAAGCAAGATCAGAGCAAATTAACAAGAGAAGTTAATAAGCAGGTGCTACCCGTCATGTGGCAAGGAAATTCGGGAGGCAATGGGCAGGGTCTTGGGAGTGACAAAAGCGCAGGGAAACTAACATTATCAAATGCAGAGGGAGCTGGGGCAGGGGAAGGTTAAGTCCTAACAAAAGGAATGGGACTGACAGGAGACACCTCCTCTCCGTGTCCCACCCATCTTAGATCCAAGCTCTCTTCTGTGTAGAAAGATGGCTCCCAGCCTACATCTCTGGCTCTGCCATTTTCCCTTAGATCAATTCCCTCAAATCACACTGTCGTTTATACTGTCCAGCAGAATGAATCACTCCCTATAGGATGCAAACAGAAAGGGAAGGAAACAGACTTCCTGCTTTGACCAGTCAGAGGAGTAGAAATTACCCCCGGCCATCAACGGGGAGACAGATTTAGAGGCCAGATTGCATTTTAAAAGGCTTTATTAACCAACTTCTTAAAATTTAACATTTCGTCATAAGCATTTCCCTAATCATCAAAAGTACTCACTTAAAAAATTATTGACATGGAACATACATACAGAAACTTGTACACATCTTCAGTGTACATCTGGATGGATTTCCATAAATGGAACACACCCATATAAATAGCTCCCCAGAAGCACCTCTATAAAAAGCACTCGTTTCTAATAGCTCTGTAATAGTCGATCATAATTTGCTTAACTATTTTCCTAACTGTTGAACATCTTTTTCCTATAATAAATAATGCTGCCATGATTATAGCTCCAAATTTCCTGCCGACGTACAATACCTCCGCCACCCCCACCCCACTGGCCTCTCTGGTAGTCAAGGATGGTCATTTCAGTGACATGTTTGTAATGGCCTTGATGTCCCTTAACATCCTCTTTTTACTATTCCCAACTCTGGAAAACCCCGTCTGTCCACCCTGTCTCCTCTGAGCTATTGAGAATGGTGAGAGAAAGGACACAGCCATTCTGGTTAAGGCCACACAAATTCACGTCCTCTCTGTTCATCAGGGCCCTCGCTGCTGGCTGTGTTTCCTCCTGTGTGCTAAGACTGGGCTTGTTTGTTGGTTTGTTTATTTGCCTTAATGTCAGTTAGTGATATGGACCTACAATTTTCTAAGTGATCTGTAACTTCTCACCTTTGCATTCTCTTTGTAAGGTTTTAAAGATTAAAAGCTGATTTGCAATTTTACATTTGGAAAAGGATGAAAGGATTGGTTTGGAATACTCAGCAAACTTAGATTGTTGTACGATGCTTCGGTGGTGAGTCGGCATATGGTTTTAAATAGTACGCAAATAAACATTTTTAATTTGAATAAGTGTGTGTTTCTTTTAGTTAGTACTAGAATAAAGTATAATTAGTACACCAAAGGGTATCAATGCCATTGCTTCGAAGGAGGGTAAGCTTTAAAAAGTAAGCGGAATTAAAGTTGATTAAAGAAAAATGGTAATTATAAAATAGCACAGGTGACCGGAAAAGGTGGCAAAACTTTCAAAGTGCCAGTTAAATGACATTGCTTCAGTACAACTTGGAGGTCCTGATACCTTTCTCTCGGTGTATTTTAAATCCTAACAGAGGAAGAAACAGAGGCAGTTATTTAGGATAAGCCAAGAAAAAGGAATCCTACCTACCCTCGAAGTTATACCAAAACAGTGTTTACTTCCTGTTATTGGTCTCTTTGCAAGACATATTTCATGAGTCCGTTTTGTATTTAACTATTATGTAAGTAGTTATCAAGTCTTAGGTGGATTTTCAGTTTGCTAACGTATCTCTGAGAATAATGTCAGCCTTTCCATTTTTAGACCAAATTTTTCAAATTTCCAAATTTGAGCCAAATTTTTCAAACTTATGGACTGGGGATGAGTCTTCAGTTCATGTAACAAACCAATCTGATGACATGATTTAGGTTTTGTTTCGTTTTTGTCTTTATGTTGCTAAAGTTCACGTTCTGGGATCAAGTAGGCCAACTGGACACTCAATTTTGGGGTGTTCATGTATACACCGTTTGCCATTTGGTCCACAGTACCTTATGTTTTTATCTATTGCTTTATTTAATCCTTGCTTCCACACCTAGATTGTAAACCCTAAGGGAAGAAACCATGTCTTTTTCTTTTTTGTATCTTCAGTACCAGCAAAATAGCTTGTTAAAGCAGACACACAGATTTCTACGGCAATTCATCAGGTATATCCATCCAATCCTTTATTATGGAAAAGTTCAAACACACACGTTATCAACGCACCATCTGGCACTTTCTAAACTCTATTTCACCGTTGTAGAAGATGAAAGCTGGGGGAAAGATGTCAGTTAAATTCGTGCTTTCTCTTTGCTAATAGAAAAAGCAGAACACAGTACGTCATGGGAAAGATGCTGTTGTATGAGTTCCACAGCAGCCAGAGGGAAGAAGGGCTCCTGACCTCCACAGCCAGCATTATGTAGGCAATGATCAGCTGTGTGTGGGCCCAGGTGAGGGTCCTATAGAGCAGCCTCATTGGCCAGGATTTGATAAACAAATTGGCAAAGGCATGAATCAGGTAGTCAGCTTTCACCATCACAGCCCAGCAAAGGAAACCGAACACCTGTCCTGGATGGAGTCCATGCCACCAGGCAGAGAAGGCAAATGTCTGCAACAGTGGCCAGATCCTGCTGTGCTGGAACACGAGCCGTCGGAGCCACCGGGCTGTGCTTTGGTTCCACTTTCTCGTGAACAGGGATATCCTGTGGGTTGTTTCCAGTGTCCAGATGTCTGCATCGGGGACATATCCCTCCTCCCCAGGGCTCTGACCAGACTCAGACCCGAAGCCTGCTGCATGGAGGACAGAGTCATCCAGGATCCACTGGGAGTAGTAGGTGAGTTTGAAGAGCCCGGCTGTGGCCCACATGACATAGACACACTCAAGCTGCCGGCAATCGGTCAGTCCCGCTCCTGCACCCACCACCCTCCACATGCCCGCCTTGAGGCACTCTAGTCCTAGAATCTGCACAGCCCTCCAGGTCAGAGCCCAGAAAGAGTGCCTGGGACACAAAGAGCTGGACCCTTGAACACGAGCCTGAAATCGCTGGAAGGAACACAAAGGGCCTCCCAGGAGAGCAGGGAAAAAGAGCAAGTAGCTGAAATAGGGCAGTGCCTTACCCAGATGCTCAGACAGAGAGCTCCTGCTCTCGATGCCTCCTGATGTTGCCTCCACTTTCCCCTCGCAAATGTCCAGTGAGAGGGACGTGACCCTCTGGGTCAAGAGCATGACGGAAGAAAGAGTGATGGAGAACCTGAAAGAGAATTTTTTTTTTTATGTAAAAACACTCCGTATTTATTCTCTCTCTCCCTTTCCAGCCTGTCACACACGACCCCACAGGAAATAGCTTCCTCTGTTGAGTTAAGATCAATCTGATGGCCTGCAATGCCCCACAAAGACTCCTGGATTAATTCAGAACCACTCACTATTCCGGAGTGAAAGTTGTCAGAATCAATATGGAATCACTTGTGTTAAAAAACCAAACCAAACCAAACCAAACCAAAAAAACCCTGAAAAATACAGCCAGGAAAGGAAGGCCGTGAAAAGAGATTTCTTATATGCCTGATAACAAAAACTATCACGAAAGACCAAAAACTACAACCTTGCACAAAATATATTTCTGCGTGGACATCTGCTCAGCAACTGCCTGTCCAACCTCAGACTTGTTACCCTTGTTAATGATCTTGGTAGCCAAGGATAATCATTGCAAAACAATTATGTATTCCTCCTCATTTTTCCTTTAAAAACCTTTGTCTTCCTTTACCTCCCTGAATACGTGACGTAGTTCACTATGGCACATGTCATTCCCATAGCAATCCCTTATTCCCAAATAAACGTCATTTTCTTTTAGAGAGCCTTTCTGTTTGTCATTTAGTTTGACACCAGACAGCATCAAGCCGGTGGGGAAGTTAATCATTAGTCAGAGATGCAAGTAAGAGAATGACAAGGAATACTGTGGAGAAATATTGGATCCTAATATTTCCAAGAGTGGCTTATGAAGATTGGAATCAGGGACTTGGGAGAAGTTTGCCACAGAGGAGACAAAAACTGAGTAATGAAAAGATTATAGGGAGTGGAAGATTTTAAATAGGAACCAGACCCTGCCTGCAAGATTCTGCTTGTGCTGAGGAACGGATGAGGGTGTATGCTGAGTCACTAGCAATTCGAGGTGTGTTCTCAACCAATCCCCTGAACTCTTACTGCTTCACCATCGAAGATGCTGCTGGCAAGATTACTGAGGACAATGAATGAAAATCACAGTGACACACTCTACAAGCAGGAACGCTGTCCTGTGGAGAGAAAACAGCGCTGCTTCCCAGCCACTGCTGTTTCTGTCTGCGTGTCTGAAGATGTAAGGAAAACTGACCACCTCGCTTGACTTATCCTAACAGAAAGCATGGCAGGCTCCAAATGCCACCAACCCCTGCTAACTCATCTTCTGTTAGGGGCTGAATGTGTCCCCCCAAAATTCGTATGTTAAAAATCTAACACCCGGTCCCTCAGAATGTGACTGTATTTGGAGATAGGGCCTTCACAGAGGTGATTAAAATGAGGCCATAGGGTGGGCCCTAATCTGATATGACTGCTGTCTTATACGAAGAGATTAGGGCACAGACAGGCAGGGAGGGAAGACTCTGTGAAGACACAGGGAGAAGATGGCCAGCTACAAGCCAAGGAGGGCTGCCTCAGAACTCCACCCTTCATCTTGGACTTCCAGCCTCCAGAAGTGTGAGGAAATGAGTTTCTGTCGTTCAAGCCACCCAGCCTGTGGTGCTATGCCGTGGCAGCCCTCGCTGAGTAACACCCTCCCCATGGCAGGCCTGGCTCAGCCTTCCTCCCATCCAGCCGGATCCTGCACAACTTGCCCTTCCAGCCGCATCAGGCCCCGGTTCCTACTGAAATCCTGATTCACCGCATCCCGTTCCGTACCTCCCACGCCCCACCCACCTGCCATCTTGCCTCTTCCTCAGAGAAGCAAGTCTGAAGCCTTTGGTGAAAACAGTCATAATAAAAAAAGAAAAGGACTCTGGGTGTGGTCAGGATGGCAAAGCAGGTGAGCCAATGGCAGGCTAGAACCGGACAGGTGACCCATCTAGCATGGTCCCAGCCTTTGTTCTCTGCGTGACCATGGACCCATGCCAACTGTGCTAGCCAGAGATGCCAGGAACATTAGGCCTCAAGATCATAAAGATGTGTTTCCCCCTAATCTTGGTGACCTCAGTGACTCATGACAACACTTCCCTAGACTGTAATTAGCTCTCGATTTTTGTTTTCTAGCTGGGGTGACTGCCAGTGTTCCAGAAGGACAGGAACAGCTGAGTCTGAATGAAGATAAAACTCTGACACAGCAGCTGCCCGTCTCTGCGGCAGCCACAAGGGTCTCCTGCCTCACCCTCCCACTCAGGCACAATGACAATCCCAGCTAAGTGCCAGACACACTGTTGTGCAGGCAACACGTGGTAGCAATGAATAGTCACAGAGTCGCATTTAATATTCTTTCCAACATTCACAACAGTCTGGCAAGATAGGTATCGTTACCCCCTTATTTTTTTCCCAGAAAAAGAAACTGAGTCAGGGAGCGGTGAAAGGACTTGCTCAAGGTCACACTGCTCAAATGTGGAAGAATTAGGGTTCAAACTCAACACCCAGGTTCTCTCCACTGCCACTATGGTAGAAGCAAACCCCTGGTCGGCTCAGCACAACCAAGCAAACAGGCCGCGTTACCTCATGGAAGGGGGCTCTTGCAGATAATACTCCGTGTAGTGCAGCCCCAGGTGACACAGGGTCTGCCAGCTCATCTGGAAGAAGAAAGCCCACCTGTGGACTTCCTGTGGGCCGAGGGAGCAGAGGAGAGCCACGGCGCAGAGAGCAGGGATGAAGACAAGTGCCGCATAGGGACCCATGGCAGCCAAGGCCAGGGCACCTCCCCCAGCCAGGAGGAAGAGGTACCTGCAGGAGAAAGGACAGCCTGGTGAAACTAAGTTAGCATAGTGTGGCAAATGAATCACTTCAGATGTCATTCTAGGAACCCACTCGAGGTAGGCCCCACAGAACACCTAATGGCGCCATGTTGTCAGCTCTCTGAGACTTTCTTGCTGTTCTTCTGAAGAAAAGAATTGTGGAAGAATGAGCCAGGGTCAGTTTGTAAACTTTACCTCAGGAGACAAATCTTGGTTCTGGCCTTAGTGACCATGGGAACCTCTCTCTCTTTGACACCCACCATTCAGGTGATTCCCGCCTAGGGTATTACACCGCCCGCCCTTGGCGAGCCTGGAAGGCTTGGTAGCAGGGACGTCTTTGAAATGGACTGGTGTGTTGTTTGCCCGACAGTCATGTGAGCCTAGTGTGAAGGATCTAGTAGAGCTCTCCAGACATCCTCTCGTGGAAACGGATGAGCGCCTTTCCTTTCCACAAGGCTGTCCTGCCCTGAAGCTTCCAGAGAGTGAGGGAGAAAAAGACTCAATGCCCCCTTCACAAGTGTTTGAAAACCCAAATAGAAAATCTTTCCATCCATCCTTCATCCTGGAGAGCACATTTTAAGATCTTGTGAGTTGGCCGGGCGCGGTGGCTCACGCCTGTAATCCTAGCACTCTGGGAGGCCAGAGGTGGGTGGATGGCTCAAGGTCAGGAGTTCGAGACCAGCCTGAGCAAGAGTGAGACCCCGTCTCTACTAAAAATAGAAAGAAATGATCTGGACAACTAAAAATATCTATATGTAGAAAAAATTAGCCAGGCATGGTGGCACATGCCTGTAGTCCCAGCTACTCGGGAGGCTGAGGCAGAAGGATCGCTTGAGCCCAGGAGTTTGAGGTTGCTGTGAGCTAGGCTAATGCCATGGCACTCACTCTAGCCCAGGCAACAAAGCGAGACTGTCTCAAAAAAAAAAAAAAAAAAGATCTTGTGAGTTAGTGTTATGGCTTTTTTAAAAAAAGTGTTTACAGTTTATTAATCCTCTTGTGAAAAATCTGCACAGTCACTGCAGATAAAGTCACTGCAGCACCTTTACCCCTTTTTGCCAGCGCCAACACTGGCCTTTGGGGGCCTCCTGACTCTCTTCATCGTGTCTTTGTGTTCCTTCCCCCGTTTTCTCAAGGTCTTTTCCTTCTCCTACAGGCCACGTCTTGCACGTCTACGCTTGGGTTCATTTTTCTTTGTCTAAATCAAGGAATCATAAATCTTGCCAGTTGTCTTGCCACCACCAAGACAGGGTCAGAATCCAAATACAAAGATGACATCTGGTGTGGTCTTGTACATTTGGCTGATTTTCCCCAAATTTCTTTCTTAGTCCTGTTGCCTTCCCAGGGCGAAGGACGCCCATGACCATTTGTTCCCACTGAGGTAGCTGGTTGATTATGATTGATTATGAACTTCCCGGTCCCGATAGCTGCTTCACCATAGTAGTCGATCCTCAGACAGACAGGCAGGAAAAGAGCAGTGTTTTTTTCTTTTTTTTATTGTTATAAAACACCCACATGGATGAAGTGGTGTGTGGATCATGCCTCCCTCAGAAGCATGAGGATCTGCAGAGGGAGGCCTGGGAGAGTTCACATTCTTCTTTCTGCGTTACGTGGAGGTTTGTTTGGTTTTTTAATTGGTGCCAAATTAATAAAGCTGAATGAAGCAGTCAGAGAAAGTGTGAAACAGGGACTGACTGGTCAGTGACAGGGAAAGTGAGTCAGGGAGGCCTAGATTTCTCTACCAACTCAGAACCTGGAAACCCCATCATAGGGAGAAAGTGTATCAGGACTCCAGGGCACAGTACCAGGCACAGGTTGGTAAGAATCACTTTCTTTCTGGGGGGACAGCAGTAGGCACTTCAGTGTGCGTGGCTTTATTACTACCCAAAAGCCCTGGGCTATTCCTGCGCTTTTCTTTTAGCCTATGTTTGGGGTGACTCCCCTCAACAACACCCCAATGAACACTGCGGTCCAAGCCTTCGCTTCCCTGCTATGGGAAAATAAAAGGGAACACTTAACACATTGACTGCCACACCAGAAAATTTTTTGCCTTGGGGCCACGGTGTTTTATTACAAAAATGAAATAAAAACTTTGAAAACAAAATGGTCCTTTCTAATTTAATGAAAAATTTGTTATTTTTTTATTGTTTTCTGTGCATGAGTTATATGCAACTTGAAAAATAGTTCAGACAGCTCCCAAAGTAAAGATGTGTGAGATATACATGCTTCACCAGGCCCCGGGTTCAAAACTAGCGTGAGTTAAATACAACTCACATGGCAGCTCATGTGTTCAAGTCCTCACACAGCGGAAATAGAAGCTTGAGCAACCCTCCCACCCAGAGAGGATCTATAAACATTAAAATGTCTACACCTGTACCATGTACGATGTATGATTTATCGATTGCTTCCTTCATTCTAGGCATTGTGCTAATGATCCTTTACAAGAAATATCTTTATTTAATCCTTAAAATAACCCCATAAGATAGGCATTACTGTCTCCATGTTACAGATCAAGACAGGGAACTTCAAAGGAAGTTTATTCACATACACAAGGACACTCTGTTTAGCGAGGGAGTTAGGACTCACCAGGCTGAATCCAAAGTGAACAATCTTAACCCTATAGTAACTCTATGGGGATTAACCCTTATTTTTCCACTTGTTTTGTGATTCTTTCTCAATAGGAAACTTCTTTACAACTATTCCCCATCTCCCATAAATGAAGGTAAGGGAGTCAGCCAATTGTGAACATGTGATAACAAGCCACAGTTTAATTAAACTCAGCAATCCTAACTGATTGTTAGATACAGCTAGATTTTATTTAAGAAGCCCCAATATATAAAAAACCCTAATTCCCCAAATAAGTGAATTACGAGGAAGTGGCCCTCTAGCAACAGATTTTCACTTTACAAAAGGATATTCCGCAAAATCTTTTTAAAAATAGGGCCTGTCTCTAATGTATTGAGGTTATTTGATGCTAAAAAAAAATTATAATCAAGTTATCAAATTTCTAGTAACAACAATTTTTGAAGCCCAAACTGAGATATAGCTAATCTAACAAGATTCATTTGACTTATTTCTCTGAGAAATCATACAAAGGGATTTTAAAAATCACATTTAGTTATAAATATAACATATTGATGTAAATTTATATAAAACTTAATTTTTTTATTGAAAATGATACAATTCCATGAAATCAGGACTATTCGAGAATATATGGGATATATAGTTGGCATAGACATACCCACTTGGGGAATTCCTATACCATTATAACAATCATCTCTCCCTGGAGTTTATTTTCATCAGTTTGCCTTTTTTTTTTTTCTTTGCCTTTTTTTTGTTTTTTTTAGAGGCCGGGTCTTGCTCTGTCACCCAGGCTACAGCGCAGTGGCCCAATCATAGCTCACTACAGCCTCAAACTCCTGGCCTCAAGTGATCTTCCTGCCTCAGCTTCCCAAGTACCTGAGATTACAGGCATGCACCACCACACCCAGCAAATTTTTTAATTTTTTGTAGAGATGGAGTCTTGCTATGTTGCCCAGCTGGTCTCAAACTCCTGACCTCAAGCAATCCCCCATTTGCCATTTAATGTGAACCTATCAAACTTTGAGTCCATGCAGACATGATGTCCATTTCCAGTTCAGTCTTATTCTATCATATATAATCATTAGCAAGCAATCCATAATCAGCAGCAGTGATACTAAGTTTAAAATAAGTGCAGTTAATATGTGGCCTTCACATCTGTAATCCACTCTGTGCTTTTTGCCCTCCTGTAGTATTTCTAGATGTAAGAGCAAAATTGGCCATCCAGCCTACCTGGCACAAGTGGAAAATGAATCCTTCCTGCAGAGATAATTAAACAGAAGTGCAAAAGGAAACGCAGCCCCCTGATAAAGTGACAGAGGATGGATGAAGAACAGCTGAAGCCAATCCATGAGGAACTAGAACAAAAGATACTGTCCCTTCCAGAGTCCTTAACTGCTGCCTTCCTGCAGGAGAAATCTCAGCCAGACTCTCTCTGGGCTTTTTATTTGGTTTCAGAGGGCCTGGGTGAGGAAAAGGCAAACAAAAGCATAGGAGATAAGCGGTATAAAAGTTGGCTTTCTGATAAAGATAACTGCACTATGGAAACCAAAACACATTTTGGTGTTATATTAATAATGACATCTACTAAAAACATTGCTTTCAAAAGTTTAGCTTACATAGGACATTATTTGCCTTTCCAGGCATCATACTGTCATATTTTCTTCACTAAGTTAATGAAAAATCTTATTTTCCAGTTGTGGACGGACAACTCCCTGGACTGGGGAGGGGGAACAGGAATGTGAACAGGAGGGAGGAAAGTTCTTAAAACAAAAACCAAGGTTTCCCTTCCTCACCACCACTCCCTTCCTTATGCTTTCTTTTTTCATATCAGCACCCCTTATATATCTATTTCTCCATTCATTTATTGCCTGCCCCCTACTACAATGTGACCCCTATAAGTGAAGGACTTTGTTTACTGCTATATGCCCAGCACATAGAACAGTGCCGTGCACACAACACACTATATACTCAATCAACTGGATCTAGCCCAGAAATAGGTTATGGAAGTACTCTGGATTTTAAGAGGAATGGGAAATAAAATAACTGGATTTGGCTTTTAAAGGATGATTCTGACTACAAGAGAATGACTTGCATTGGGGTTCTGGGCCGGAGGATGGGGGCATTATTTTAGAGGTCAAAGACAGAAGGAGCAGCGACAGGAGTGAGACATGCTGGCTGGGATCAGGCTAGAGACATGGTGGAGTTACAAACAGTGTAAAGTGGCAGCCTGAGGCCCTAGAGCTAGAGCCGGCAAAACTTGCAGGTCAATTATTGCATGCAGCGGTGAGGAGTGCCAGGGATGACTCCCGAGTGCCCGGCTTGAGCGACTGGGCAAATGGTAGATTATTTTACTGAAATGGGGCTCGAAGGAGCACCTGGTGAGAAGGAGGGCTTGAGCATTAATGGAAAGCTCTGTTCTGGACAGTTTAGGTAAGACTTTGAGGCATCCAAGCGGAGACATCAAGTAGTCAATCGAGTATCAGTTTGAAGCTCGGCAGAGAGGACAGAACTAGAGATATTAATTTGAGAGAAAGCGAACAGGTGGAGGGCACTTAACCTGTGGGAAGGATGAGCCCATACAGGATAAAAGGGACAAGGCCTAGCAGGAGGAGCCCCGACGTATAGAGGGAGGATGTCCCTTTTCAGGGACATTTGGAAGGTCGAAGGAACTCTAGCAGGGCGGGATCACGAGTACCGAAGAGAGAGGGTAAAAGGAAGTCATAATGATGCACGTTGGCTTGCGACAAACAGCTGTTTTAAATTCGGGTCTATGGACCCCTGGATAGGTCTGAAATCCGCGGGTGGTCACGCAAGCAACCCGCACGCACCACGAACAGATAAACTGGAGTGGCCGCGAGCCTCCCACCCCTCCGCTCGCGGGCCACGCCCCCAAGGGCCCGGCCACCCGAGGCTCCGCCCCCAACCCTGCCAGGCTTTCCAGTCGCGTATAGAAATCATCGCTCTATCCAGGCCGCGGTGTCGATCTCGGCTCCCATTGGAGACCGGGCGGTACCATGGCGGAGAAGACTCAGAAGAGGTGGGTCTGCTGCTTGAGAAACGCCTGTTCTCTATTCTCCACAGGGCTGGAACCGGTTCCTGGTCGCCAATGGTGGGGACTGGGAGGGTGTCTCATCCCGGGCTCTCGGGCTGATGGTACCTAAAGCCCAGACCAGGAGTCCGCTGAGGGAGGAGGCGACGGAGTGGGGGTGGGGAGGGCTGAGAAGGGACGCGGAATCGGTGCCTGGAAGGTTTTTGTTCTTTCCTGTCGCCATCCTTCCTCCGCACACGCCTGCGCAGAAGGGGTCACCGGGCGCGGCTGCGGGGGAAGAATGACGTCGGCCCCTTCCTGGGGCCCACCGGGAGGCCGCGCCCCTTCTAGCCCTGGGTCTGCAGTTGTTGGCGCGCTGTGCGCGATGGCCTGCGCTGGATTCTCTGCTGGCTGTGCGAGACACCCACGCTAGTGCTGGCCGCGCCGCGGTCCCCTCTTATCTCTCGTGGGCGACGTGTGCAAACTGATGCAGGTCGTTCGTCACAAAAGGGGGCCGCGCCTACCCTAGAACTGTCATGTTCTGCCCGGTGTGAGGTCAGGAACTGTGGCTTCTTGTCCAGCAGTCTTCATCGCTGGGGACTGTTGGTGGAAAGAAAAAGGCTTGGATGAGAGAAATGCATAAGTAAAGCGGTGCTGAGCACCCTGTGCTGGCTTTTCTTTTTCTTCTTTTTCTCTAAGAGACGGTCTTGCTCTGTCGCCTAGGCTAGTGTGCAGTGGTGTGATCATAGCTTACGCAACCTCACACTCCTGGGCTCAAGCGATCCTCCATGCCTCAGCCGAGTAGCTGGGATCACAGGCGCGCACCACCGTGCCTGGCTAATTTTTTTAATCCATTTTTTTGTAGAGACAGGGGTCTCGCTCTCAGGCTGGTCTCCAACTCCAGGGTTCAAGCAATCCTCCCGCCTCGGTGCTGGCTCTGTTTGACAAAGAAAACCAACATCGTTTATGAGGCCATAAATTAAAATGTAGGTTTTTTTTCTGTTTAAGCAGGCAATCTGTAATCTGTTTTCATCAGCTAAACAGGAACAGATGTATTATAAACATTATGTACAATGCGTAGTAACATACAGTGAAGATGAAGGTATTGTTAATATTTTAATAGGTCAGAAGTGAACTCTTCTCCCAGCTGTCTTGCTCCCTGCTTCGAGGTGCAGTGGAGTCGACGCGGAGATGTTGGAACCACAGTTTAGTTGGTCTAGTTGGGAATGATCTCTGCCTCACTGAGAAGTGTGCTGATTGTGACACAGACGCTACCTGGGAGATCGCTCCCTTGGGCATAAAACTGACGGCAGGAGGCACGTGTGAGTCTTTCCCAGTCTGTTGCCCAGGACAAATTAAATGTGAGATGGTCTTTTCAAAATGAGGAGCCTGAGGGAATGGAAAATTGCAATGAAAAATAAGGTCTAAAACAAGAGACATTTTAGAGAGGCTAATTTATTTGACCAAGGCTTAATAAAATTGCCTATTTTAACACAAAAACCCACTGAAATGAAAAGTATCAGAGAAATGGCATTTACAAATGGTGGTACATTCAAGGATAGCATCATTCAGTTATCACAGGAAAAATATCTAGAGTGACGAGATGTTTTCAGGAAACTTTCAACTAACAGAAGAGATGATTGATTTCAGGACAGTGATGCCCCAGGAATGAACTTTGCTTTAAGAAATTTCTAGTCTCTGAATTTTGGTTCCTTCATCTATAAAATGAGAGGGTTGAACCAAATGATTTTCTGCTTTGTTATTCTGCTCCATTTTACTAAAGTTTTTCTTTCTTCTCTGACTCAGTATGAAGGTTACATATTTTCATGACTTCAGCAGAATGACTCTTGATGGGCCATGTAACCCAGAAGGGTCATTGGTAGGATTTCATTAATTTATGCCTTGTAGAAGTCATTTCCTGTCAAAATGATGGAAATAAGGTAGCTGTGTCTGATCTTGCAACCATTTCTTGAAGATAGACCTAGGAATTATTCATTTTTTCTGTTTAATACGTTTTATTTGTTTGTTTTTGAGACAGG